TGACAAATTCAAAACCGACTTTAAGCCACAATCTTCTAGATTAAAATATATTTTTTTATATAGTTTATTATTTGTATTGTCTTAAGAAATAATAAAATAGGTCAAAGGATTAAATTCAACTGCAAACTTATAATGTTAAATTGCACCAACCTTACCGTTCAGTTTAACTTACACAGAAGATCTGTAGACGAAACAAAAACCATTTGATACTTGATTTACATAGCATTCCTTTCAATTTAAATATTTTGATTTTACGTTCTGATCGTATAGCGCCCCTAGAAGCACAGTTTCCATTGAGGACAGGGTACTGAGTGCTTTCACCTCCCCATTTTTCCCATTCACAGTACACAGGACCCAGTGGGAGGCGGAAGTGCTGGGATACGCGAAGTGATGGCTCATTCACTTGAAGCCCTTACAGATGACTGCACAATGTGGAGGCGATAAACCAATCGCCGACATGTCCTCGAATGCACTTCCGCTTCCGTGTCCGTGTCCGCATCCTTCAGAAACTTTGCAAACTGAAGTGTTTATAGCAGCCATCTCTTCTGCTTTTTAACCTCCTTTTTTTGTTCTCTACTCGATAGAACGCAAGGATCAGCATCCGCTGCAGCTGACCGCCCACAATTTGGCCTCGGACACGCACCAGCTGATGTACACGGGCCACGCCCACCCCCACGCCCACAAGGCGGCTGGCGCTGGGGCAGCGGTGCTGAGTGTGCCGCCCACCCTGAGTGTGTCGCACACACAAATGCCGCCTGGAATGGCCAGCATGGGTCAGCGAACCCCCAATCTCAGTTTCCGAGCCTCCCACGGAGGAACCTCTCACTCGCAGGTGGCCACCATTCAGCAGCCCATTCCGCATGGCCATGCCTGCCAAGGATCCGCCAATTGCAACATCAAGATCTCGGTGGCCTCCGCCGCAGTGCCCGTGGGATGCCAGGAGGAGTTTAGGGCCCCCAAGGTCACACTGCTGGACGATCTCAGTGACGAGGTGAACTCCTCGACGGACGAGTGCGGGGACTGCTGTCTGGTGGAGGACAGTGATACCTACGAGGGTGCCACCATCAACAATGGTCAGGGTGGCCAGGCGAACGGCGCGGAGGCCATTGGACTGGATGACGCCCTTCTCGACGAGGACGGGGAGGAGGACGACGGCGAGGGAAGCGGTGTGGGTGGGGACAGTGGCGATAGTCTTGGCGGAATCTACATCGGTCCCAGGCATTGATTGTCAGACATCAAAGCGGACTTACACACTTCTGACTTTACTGCCTATCACAGCTCCAAACTGCAACGCGGTGAAAGTAAATAGATGGATAAAGGTGTTAAGAATTTAAGATCATGTGTCAGGTGAATGAAGTGCTACACCAACCTAAATGCTTTCTCTAGAGCAAGCTGTGCCACGCGAAGTCTTAAATGAGAATTGCATCCTAAGGAGTTTTAAAACCAAGGTCAATCATACTCAAACTTTTGCTCAGTTCTACAACCATTTTGTCGTTTAAATAACTCAATTTACAGGCTTTACTACTACTTTAAGTCAATCCAAATTGTTGAAAAATTTTATTAAATTTTAATTTTCCAATTTTCGCATACAAATCATATGAATGTGTAAATAAAATGTAAGGACTAGCAGTGATGTTTAAATGTTTTAGTCCAAGTAAATACTTAAAACTAACTGCAGAGAAACGGAATAAGCTAAGTGTTCCTAAACTTTCAGTAAACCAAACCGATTATCACTGTCATGTGCTCGAATGCTTAGCATAAACAATGAATTTAATGCATTCCCCATATTAATGGGGAAGCTTCCAGGGCAAGATGGGCTATTATTAAGGTTACAAATATTTATAGTCCCTAGATCACTGCCTTTTCATCCGAAAACTTTCCAAATTCGAGCTCGAACGCACTGCGGTTGTTTTCCATTAATTTTAAGACGGGGTTTTTCCACATGCCGGAATCATTTATCAGAAGTTTTAATCAATCTTTGCTCTCTACGACAAACGACATTTCTTGGCCGGCCAAGTCAAACATTCGTAACATTTGTATCAGTGTCCCTATAACTGTCATGTTGACAACTGTCATTGGCAGCGTGCATGTAGGATTGCTTACCAGTGTGTGAAGTGTGTGAAGCGTGTGGAGTGGCGGTGTTTCCATGCAGGCGAGCACGTCCTGACAAAGTCGCCCGGACAAACAAAGAGAGTCGCCGAGGGACGGGTTTCAAAAGGGGAGCAAACATATCGTCCATATAAATGTGACCACTTGTGTGCAGCCAGCCAGAGTTCTAGCACCATAGAACTCTCACTTCCCGACACGCCAAGGTGCTTATTGTGCAAATCTTGGGACAAAAATTGCGGGGACAACTATAAATTCCCACACTTGACACTCACGCTCCGTTTCTCGGATCAGACCCCGAATCATGGCCAAAAGTGTCTCTGGGCTTGTTTATCTGACACATTGAATGCCACCATTTCAATGAGCTGTGAGCAAAAACTGTGTCGACAAGACGCACACAAAGGGCGACGACAGCCAAAAACTAAAACGGCGACAACATTCGTGGCCTTGGTGTCCTGGAGTCCTTCTTCGCCATCTAGTCCCCCACTTCCACCCACTTTTCTTCATTCCGGCGACTTGTGTGGTTGACCTCGTGAATAGTCTTTTGGGGTCGCTGTGTTAAGTTTTCATTCTTCGACATTTATTCCCATAAATGTTAATTGATTTATTCACAGCAGCTGAAAAAGAGAAAACTAAAAAGCATGGAACTGTAAATATTTGAGTATGACGGTCAAGGACTAACCAAAAGAAATAAAACTGAACACAAAGAAAGACAGTAGAAGACATATTTGACTTTAAATAAGGTTCAATGGTAATTTTTGGTCCAATATTTATAGTTTTTGATGTGCTAAAAATGATTAACAAAAAGCCGAACAATTTTGATTCAGATATGTAAGAAAAGTCTAAGAAATGAATGGCTTTTCTAAATAAAAGCTTGTTGTAAGTGATTTTGAGAAATAGTTGAGCGCATAGATTTAAATATATATCATGAGGGAAATGTTTCCAATTAGTCAGTATAATCAAATCCGTTGGTCTGAATGTGCGTCGTTCTAAATTTTCTCTTTATTACTTTGCCAATATCTGATTAAAATGTTAAATAATTGCCTAATTGTTGTGTAAGGGTACCCTAAAATCGGCTTGCCGGTTGCTACGATTTTTCTCGTTTAAATTGGAATCTTTACTTTTAAATGTGTAAGGAAAATGTTGCTTTAAATACTGTTCAATTTATAAAAAACACATGTTTTCCCATATTAAAAAAAACCAAAATTCGAAACCATAAATAATATTAAAAAGTAAATAAATATGTATTGTTAATTCGTAAAAACAAATTTTAACTAAAGGTGACATATAAATAATTTTACATAATCTTAAATGAAGACGGAAATGAATCTTTTGATATAAGACATGCTGTAGCAAGCCAGTGCTCATGGAAAAAATATTGTTTCAATAGGATTATAGTTAGTTTAAAAAACACAAGTGAGATACTAAACTAATATTAAACTTTTGCCTAGCAAATAACTAAGTTTAGGCCGGTAAATGCAGAAACATTCATTGCATACTGAAATCGATACAAGAAATAAATCCTTTGAAGAAATCACCCACCACAGACAGGAAACAAGAACCCGGCTGAACGTAAATAACAAGATTTTCGGAACTATAATCTCTGTGTACATAGATAATCTCAAAAACAACCTAAATTGCATTAGTTAAATGTGGAAAGCAGTAAAAAAAAACATTTCTACAATATTTATTGTAAGTAAAGTGACAAGATCAGAAGAAATACGAAAACTGTTTACAAACAAAGCGAATTTTTAAATGTTAAAAAAAATGTCCCCAAAAAGGAAAAAATAAACAAACAACAAAATGTGGTGTGCAAAAAATTTAAATTTTAACAGAAATAAAAATTCTTTGGAAAAGCATTCAATATTTTCATGATTTCTACACAGACACATCATCATCCCAACCACACGTTTTTCGGCCAAACCAAGACACGTACCGCATTTTATGCTAATCAAACCGGGACGGGAAGAGAATTCAATTTCAGGGCCGCCCAACCAGAAGCCACAGGATAGGATTTTTAATTTAAAAGGGCCAGCACGAGGCACTCCCACCCGCACATACACACAACCAAGCCAACTGCGATTCTGGCTCCTACTCACATTTCATTTGGCCAGGCCATAAACAGAGGATCAGCTTCGAGGCCGTTCTCATAAGGCCATTTAGAGGGAAATTTATGCCTGCCACCTCTGCAGTAAAATGGACCAAAAAACACGGCCAAAAAATACCATCGGTCCCTTAGAAATGGGAAACTGCAAGTGATGGCGTCTAATATAGACACTTAACCACTTACAACCAGGCCGAAAAACACACACGCCGCAGTACGATTTTGATACACGTACACGCAGTTGGCACATCAAAGCGCAAATCCATTAGGCAATAAACGGGAGTCAGGTGCGGAACTATGCGGGCGGAGCCACAGAAATCCTATTTATATTGGATGTCCGGATACTCTGCGTTAATATTTGGTAACCAGTAAGGTTACAGTAAGTTTTCTTAAACAAAAATACAAATAAACTATTTGTCTAAAATTTATTAATCTATCTTATATTAATATTTATTTGCATTTTATTCATGATAATATTTAATTAACTTAAACTTTGTATGTGTATGTAATAGAAATATAAATGTTTATTTAATATCAACACTGTGTTTTTTAATTTCTTGACTTCTTTAAATTTTAATTTATTTTAAATGCAAATCAAATAATGATTGTTTTGGCACATGCTTTTAAAAGTCTAAGAATTCTTAATCGTCTTTTAAACGATATGTTTTACTTGCACCATTAAAATAAATTAATTTTGTCATCAACCAAATTTTTTAACAATTTGTCTTTTAAGAAATCCTATCTAAATTATTTTACAATTTTATTAAAACAATTTTATTATTGTGCAATTTTATATGTATAATTTTTACAGAGCAGGGACTGATTTTACAATGTCTTGTTACTAATTTTTTTGCAGTTAACAGTTTTAGGCACAGAAGTTTCAACATAGAAGTACACCCAGAAAAAAGTAGAACGAATAATTTTAGCACGAACGTTCTTGAAAATCGGCCGAATAATTCTTAAAATTTTTAGGACGAACGTGTACAGAATAAGTACGGGTCATACTTGATAATAGTATTTACAATTTTTTTTTTTAACACACAGAGAAAATATATTTTATAGCTTTAATTCTGATTATAATATCTATAAATAATAACAGAATTATAAAAAAAGCATTTAAATCTATAAATTAAGCATTTTTTCACTAGCAGTCATACGATTATACGTTAATTTTGTACATTCGAGCACATTTGTGTATATCGATGTGTATCGATCGATATCTTCTTTTCGGCTAGTCGATCGAAAAGCTGCCTTACTTTAAAACGAGAAGTGCGCAAGTAAGAGATCCGAGTCGCAGCGTAAAAAAATGGAAAGAGAATCGCCCAAAAAGCTAGAGGACGCGTTGGAAGAAATGGGAATGCAGGGTGTGCTGCCGTACCTGCAGGGTAAGTAATTGTGCATTAATGTGAAACAGTAAACTATTAGCAAATGTGGTAACATAAAAGAGAAGCGATGTCGTCAATAAAATTAAAATTCGCGTGAATTAAGTTAACTTACGAATTAAAGTAAAACAAACTAATACTTTAATATAACAAAACGGAGTAGTCGTTAATAAAATTAAATTTCGCGCGAATTACATTTTTGTTAATGTGTTTATGTGCCTCTTTCCTGATTCCGAAAAAGACAAAGTAAAATGGAAAGAAAAAAGCAACGGTAAAACGTTCGCACGCACACATAACAATGCAAAACATTCTTGTGCCAGTTATCGCGACTTTTTCCAATAAAAACTAGTAAAAATAAGAATTGGTGTTAAATCAGAGTTTATAAAAAATAAATAAAAAGGCTGACGGAATTTTTTACAAGGGCACATTTACATACATATGTATGTATATACATATGTGAACGAGCGCTTTACCGTTCCTTTTTGTTTTCTATTCCTCTTTTTCGGAACTCAGTGCGGTACAGTTGCTTTTTTTTTTCTTAGTAAAAAAAGAAGGAGTAAATTCGTGTGCACACATGTACATGCATACGTTTGCTGCTTGTTGCTGTTTTTTTAGTTCGTGTATTGGTATTTGCTTCTTAGAAAAATCATTTTAATTGTTTTTATATTAATTTCATACAGAAGCTGGAGTGACTTTGTCACTATTAGAAAGTGTGACAGAGGAGGAGCTAAAGGAAGCAGTTCTCCAATTGGGACTGCGTATGCTATTCAAGCGGAAGCTTACAATTTGGAGAGAAAAAAATGTAAGTTTAATAATAGACATTTTTTAGAGTAGTTTTTAACGCAATATTTTATTTAGAAAATTACCAAGGTCAGCGCAGGCCAAAACGAAAACGAGACCACTTTTGTGCTCCACAAGGTAATTATTTTTTATAAATTATAATTTTTTTTTTTTAATTTTTTATATATAAAGTGAACAATTTATTTTTGTTGCAGAGCATTCGTTCGATTATAGAGGCGAAGGAGCATGGAAAAACGTTAATTAATAAAAGGAATCTTGTTCAGGTGGATAGAATCTGGCTGATCAGCGCAATAGTTGAGGAAGCCATCAACAACAATTTAATAATTTGTTAAAGGAAAAGTTTTCGGACTGCAACGAATTCCATTTGTATGATATATTAATTTTTAAAGGAACTCGGTACAAAATCAATTACTACTTAGGTGTAATATTAAGTGATTTTGAGTTATTTAAAATTAATTTCTATATGCCAACCAATTAAAATTACAAACATTGATAAACATTTTCGCGCATACGTAATTGGCTCTGCTAAAGAATATTGTATTAGAAAGTTAAGTGAATTCGATACTGCTCCTTTGCATTTATATCCTGTAAATAATAATAAAACTCTTGTTCGTATTAAATATGTATAAGCTTCTTAAGACAAATTGTTCTTATATATGTCAAAATATACAATACAAAAGTTGTACTTTAAAATATTAAGAAGTGAATCAGATACTCAAATACTTTTCATTATGAAATTATATTCTTAAGTTAAAAACGTTTTATACTTAAGAAAAGAATTGTTTATTCTTCAAATAAATATTTATTTCTTGAATAAAACATGATTTGTTCTTAAATTAAAAATATTCATTCTTTATTAAAGAGGGTTTGGTTCTTAAAAGAAGAATGGTTTACTCTCCAAATAAGAATATTTGTTTCTTACATGAAAAATACTTCGTTCTTGAATATAAGAGTATCATTCTTTAACTACGAATTTTTCTGACTTAAATTAAAACTATTCGTACTTAAATTAAGAACTGTTCATGCTTAAACGAACGTTTTTTATACTTAATTTGTTCACTTGCACAGTTTAAACTAAGACACTTTAATACTTGAATAAAGAATTTTTCGTTCTCAAACCAATATCTTTCGCACTTTCTTCAAGCACTTTTGAGTACTTGGACTGATGACGTTCGTTCTTAAATGTAGAAATTCGGGATTCAATAATTCGTTCTTGAATATAGTCTTTCGTTCTTGAATCAAAAAAATTCGAATTTACCCTACTTTTGACATCGTTCGTTCTTGAATTGACATCGAAATTCTTGATTTTTTCTATGAGTGTACAGAAAGTAAATTTCTCCGAAGCAGCAACTTAACCTAATGTTAAAATCTAACATGACATTGTGAAATTGGCCCTTATAAGAGGAAAAGTTGGACTACCTACAAAAGTATTGATTGAAGAAATTAATAAGAAATTAATAATAATAGCATTTTTGAAAATGTTGTAACACAGAACTACCTCAAAGTTTGTGTTCTATTGTTGCCACTAAAACTACTATACTTTGTCCGAGAAGAAGGGTATCATGTTATACCCCACGACGGCCAAAGGAAATCACAAAACCAGCTACGTGAGCCCACTGCAAAGGCGATGAGCTTATCTGAAGCCCAGAATCCCAGGAGTGTGCTACAGCGGTGCGGCAGGGCAAGAAAAACAGACGGAGACAGCAGAGCCGCTCATAAGCGAGGAAAGATTAATGAGCACCACCTGCCTGCAGACAAATTAGATGGCATAATTCAGCGTGACCCGCACACGGAACACATTCCGTGCGCTTGTTCCTTGGCCCTTCTCATAGGTGTGGCCGTAGATCCCCATCGTTAAGTGCTGGCAAATTTATGCAAAATAAATTATTTGTCAGTTTGAAACATGCAGGAGCAACAGAAGTAAGTGAAACCACGAGTTAAAGCGAGTATATGGGCTCACCCACTCACAACTTCCAGCGCTGGAATCCAGCATAAGCTGCTGATTTATGCCTGACTTGATAAAATGTCGCATATCCGGTTCCGTCTTTGCTCTCAGGCTCTTGGAAATGAAATACAATTTCTTCGCCTACCCTGTCTGCTTTTCCTCTTTTTCGGGGAAATGGCAGGAACATTTGAGGATGGGGAGGATGGAGAGCTGCGATAAAAGCCAGAAGAAGTAATCAAAGCAAGCATATGGCGGCGATTGCTGCCTAGAAATGCATGGCAATCCTCAAATGTGTTCTCTGATTGTCTGCAACTCGTCTGACACGCCCATTTTTATTCATTTTCAGCTGCCTTTTTGTGTGTATTTGGGTGTGTTTTCGAATTGTGCGACTGTTTGTTATGGCTAGTGGGTGTGGCCGACGGGGCGTATGAGAAATGTTTCTTTCGATGAGTAATCGGGACATCTTATTCTGTTTTTTTTTTTTTGTTCTTGAACTTTTCATCAACACAATGTTCGCATTACAAGTGTTATAGCTTCAAATTTAATGGATTTCATTTATTATTATGAAGATTTTGAAAGACGGCATTTTTGTGAAGTATGATAGTATTTTGGCAAAAGATTCTTGTTAATAGGTCTTTCGCCTGCCGCAAATGTAAGTATAATTTTGCGATTTCAATATAAAAGGAAAATAAATGTTAGCTTTTTAGAATATAATGCATTTATTTCGTTTGTGCATTACTGGTTCCATTTGGGTTTTTTGTTTTTAAATTTTTTAAAATTAATCTTATAAAAAACAGTTGACTATTTTGGAAAAATACCACTAGCCAAGTTGGCCTATAACTACAAAGGTATATGAGCCCATTCTTAAATTTTGGATATTTTGGATCTTCACCAGATGTCTACTATTCTTAAGCTCTCAGACACATTGGTGACCCACTTTGACATTTAAAATGGCCAAAAACTAGAGAAATACCATTTCTTTTGCTTTCGTGTCCTTGCCCACAAAATGAGTTATTGCTGTAGATTACCACACAGCAGAGAAATGTTTCCTAAAGAGGACATGAGGAATATTTACTGGACAGACAAAATTGACAAAGGAAAAAACTGGACTAGCAATGTTTACTAGGTCAGGCAGTCTTCATTTTCTTTCGCTCGACATCTGCGAGTTGGCTGCTTTCGACAAGCCGTTTTCCTAGCCAATTGGCATACCTTCAATGCTCGACGTTGGTCTCTTAGATTCATGCTGAAATAGCAGCGCAACATTCGCCAGCAGCCCCGTATGGATTTACTCAGATTTCGGATAGACGTCTTCAAGTAGTATCTGCCGTCGGTGGCCTCAAGGACGTACCACAACACCGAGCCGCTGGCCAAGCTGGTGATTAGTCCCGAAAGCCAATATTGATGAGGCGAGGGACCGCAGCTGGCGTAAATGGAGGTCAGGAGCAAATCCGTAAGGTTGAATAGTAATCTTTCAAGGCTGCACCAAATGATGACGGTGCCCACTTCCGCCAGGAAAATGGCGGCCACACTCTCCACCAGGAGCTGCCAAAAGTGGGCCATGTGCGTGAACCGGAGAGGGTAGATGGAGACATCCCACAGGAAGCACAACGTGGCCCCCAGGAAGAGGTAGCTGGCCAGATCAGGAGCCGGCGAGCATCGATCCTCCGGCTGGGCCAAGAACAAGAAGCAGCCCATTAGTTGAAGAAAGCCCGCCAGTCCCACTGCCAGTTTTTCCATTTTCCAGCTTACAGTTTATCCAGTGATTTGTAGAAAAAAGTATACTTGTCAAATATTATTATGGCTTGGACCTACATTTCAGTTTACAACGTGTTTTTTATAGTAATTTATAGAAACCCCAATGATTTGGCAACCAGAAAAGTACACGAACATTTGTTATATGCTTTTTTTTTTATTTCTTACTGTATAGAGAAGAACTTCACATATAAATTTAATTTATTGGTATATCGGACCTTTCAAATTAGCATTCACTTTACCATACAAGACCCTTATTATAATATTCTCTAAACAACATAAGAACCATGCAAAATATTATATAGTGTGTATTATGTATATACAATATTAACATGCTTTAAAAACAATATATTTAGATATTAAGGTAAGAAACCTAATGGTCTTGTCTAAAAACTAACTTTGGACTTGGTATTAGTTTGGTTAGCAATTTATTCGTTTTTGACATCTTTGAAGTAATATACTTTTATTTCTCACTCTTAAAGTTGTTCTAATGTGTCCAACACAAATTTATAGAACATTAAAATAGATCTGTGGAGTACAGGATAGTACCACCATAACAATATAAAACTCCTGCTATTGATAACCACTCTATCTAGTTTTTATTAAAAACTTTTAATCAACTTAAGTGCAAAACGTTAAGCTTACGAAATGTTTAATTACTTTTATGTGGAGATTTACCCACTTGCTCCAATATGATTGACAGTCTCTGGGTAATTAGCATACTTCAATCAACAAGGGAAACCCCTTCACAGCGCAGCTCATTGCAATTAATTAGTGTTTGTCAGCCCATACAAATCGGCGCACATGCACGCAGGCCCAATCAAACACAATGTGTGACAGGCTTAGGTCGAAAATTAGTTTACCGACCCGCCCACTAATAGTCTCACGTTACCCGCTTATCTAAAATCGGTCGACAGACAGCCCGGGCAGTCAGCCAAAAAAGTGCCAGCAAATTAACATAACATTTACCGCAATTAATCAAAATTAAATAGGCAACATCGCCCAGCTCCCCTCGTGGCTCCGATGTCAATGAACCGCATGAACAGCCCAGCTACACAGCTCCCCATCGCCTTCGTCCCAGAAGTCAGCTGGCATCCTCCGTCTCCGACTTTGGGGGAGTGGTTTCGGGGGCGGGTGGCAGATGAATGGCTACCTGGCGGCCCACTGTGAACTTGAATCTATCAAAGCCATTGGCATCGGCTAAGTGAAAGTGCCTGGATCTGACAGGGACAAAGACCTTTTGGCCGCAGACTGAGGCACAGTGGTGCAACCGCAGTTAGATGGCTATAATTAAGCTTTAGGTATGATATTTGTCACATTTGTGGCTATTTATTTTTCATGGAGATAACCTATGCCTTAAAAATGTTGTGGCATTGGATCGTACTTTACAAATCATTTTATTGCTAAACCTTATAAGGAAATTAAAAAAATAAAGTGAAACATATTTGATCAGATATGTCTTTATGTATGTTTTTGGCTCAATAGATTATGCTTTCAACTATGTTATATTGTTTCTTTCAAAAATGAAATTAATGGCGCTATCTGCCGAAAATATATTTATTTTCAACATATTTGTTACAAGTAATATTTTTGAAATTGTCAAAATAAATTAGATCTATGTAGTCGTAATACCACTGTTCGAAAGCATTCACACACATTAAGCCCACAAATGAAGAGGGTTCGCTGTTGTCAGGAATTGGGTCCTGTGCTCGCTGGTGTGTGTTTGGGTTCATCTTGTCTATTTAAAAATTGATTTGTTGTTATTTACATGCGACATTATTTATTTGGGATATCTTTTTAAGCGATTTTATGCCAGCACGCGGTAATGATGTGTCCTTTAGGTCTTGTTATCGGTGTCGAAAATCCAATTTGTAAGTGTCACTGACAGTTTTTGGGGCACAGAAATCGAGAGAAAGCGCGAGACGGATGCTGTTCGCAATTTTTGTGTTGGAATCACAGTTGATTTGAAATGCAACAAGTTTGGCCTGGGTCAGGATCCAGCATGACTGTAGGTGTCACAGCATGACTTTGGTTATTGTATTTGGGGCTGAAATTCAAGGATATGTTCATTTAGAGGGATAGTGATGAAGATGGAAGTGTGAAAAGGGCAGATAGGGGACAGTAATTGAAAGCAGTCGTGTAGAAAAATCAATCAGAACTGTGCGCTTGGCATTTGATCGGGTTGGGTGCCACTTCCTCAGGGACTCAGGGACTTCGGAAAGCAAACAGTTTTTAATTCGCCCACACGGAGTGGTATTTGCATAAATATTTACACTAGTCATTCCAAAATGCCAACAATTTTAGCTATGGGCTGGGTACCTGCTGGTGATTAACGCAAATGAATAATTAATTAAAATTTGCATTCGTTCTGAACGATTCCAGCAGCATTGCTGGTGTATCCCCGAAAAAAATGGCCACAAAGGAAGCACTTATTTTTCAATTAAATTATAAATCAGTTCAGGAAGATGTAATGACTGCAACAGTGGCGGTAATTAAGCGTGAGCAACTGCAAAATGTCTGCGGAAAATAATTTGCACTTCCGCGCCCTGTCCGCTCCATCTATCCCTTGGTTTGCGGCAGGAAGCCAGGAGCAGTTGGGAGCAGACATGCGGCCAAGTCATGCACTTAAAATTTTATACAACTTCGCACGTGAATCTTTAATGCACTTTTCACACTCACTACCCACACGCAGGCTAATTAAGACAGGGGGCAAGCAGATTTAACGTGGCTCTGACATTAAAATGCCGCATAGGAAGCACAGAAGCATTCTATACATTTTAGCCATGATTCCTTAATCCAAAGTGGATGCACAAAAGTTTGGCTAACGCTTAAACTTTTAATTTTTCAAATTCTCACGTCTCTAAGCTTTTCGAAGATCAGCTGAGTCAACAAAAGAGGTTAGTTTCGGATAAATTTAAGTGATAAAATTAAAATAAAAACTTTTTATCCAGATTTACGTGTAAATTACCGAAAACCTGGCATAGTAAATAACAGGGGTAGATTAGATGTTAAATGGTTATTTTGTGGATAAAAATACAGTTTTTTTTTAAGTTATAATACGTTTATATATATATTGCTTAACTTATGTTTAAAACCCTTTGATCATTTTACCCTAGCCACTGAACAATCACGAAAGCTCTTAAAAGTGTTTAATGTGTGGCAAATAGGAAGCTTGGCGAACCCCGAAACTATTGGTTTTTAGGTCTACCTTGATAACCAAATGCATTGTGTGAGCCTGACAGGGGAAGTGGGTGTGGAAGTGCACGTGAGGTGGAAAGCGTGTGGCAACCAACTTCGGATGAAGAAGCCAGCAGCAACAACTAGCTTGACTTGTCAAATCGTGCGCGTAAAAGTTTTAGCCATGAAAAGTTTTCTACAGCTACCTGAAACGTATCATTTTCAGACTTCATGCATTCCCGCCGTTTTTACCGACAACGCGTTCGAATAAAATAGTGTAGATGCCCTTTAAAAGGATTTATTTAGCTTAAAAATGCAAACTACTTTAATTGTTCGATCAGATCACAGTCAAATTTTGTATATGAAATTATACAAATGCTTAACGAAACTCTCTTATAAGAACAAAAGGTCCATTGAAATCTATTCTTGATTTGAAATTCTTCAAATATTTGTTGATTGTTTGTATTGGACTCTTATTGAAGATGTATAATTTGGCCTATTGCCTTGGTCTTATATCCTCCACATACCCTTTGAAAATACGCAGCGGCAGCAACAAAGTTATCTGTCATAAGTTGCATGTTGCACACGTGTCAGGCGCCAAAAAGGAACCAGGAAGAGGAGCTCAGTCCGGGCCTTTTTACGTGACGCTGGCGGAGCGACTTGTCAAGAGCAGTGCCATCAGTTCCGCTTCCAGACCGCCGTGATCTCCGCTCCTTCACCCCCCTTTTCATCTCCCAGGAGGCAAATTGAATTCGTTGAAACTCTATGGCATTCGAAATGCGGACAGACTGCGACTGGCACTGCGGCAGTTGGCGGTTTGTTTGTATGTCGTTTTGGCGCAGGCCTCGCTTGATTTGCATTTCACAACGAAACCCTATCCTGGCTCCATCAGCCGTTGAAAATCACGCTAATTGTCGCAGGCACTGCACGCAGGGAAAAAACACATTTCGAGATGAAAAACACACCTGTTTTTGTAACCCGCTTTTAAGAATTTAAAACAGGCATGGATTTATTATTCTGTAGATTTTAAAGGTGTGGTTTTACATAAAATATTAAAAAGTTATTACCATAGCTTTTTGAGTGAAAGATTAAAGTTATTACGATTTGTCCGACGTTAACAAATGCAACCGCACTTTAAAATCATGAAGATTAAAAACCTTTTCTCGGAGTGCACTTAGGCGCAATGCAGCTGTTCGCGCAAGTGAACAACAATCTTTTAGGACGCTGACATTTGCATTAATTGAAATGCTGAAAGTCAATGGGGTTTAAGAATTTGGGAAAGTAACGCCCGCTAGGGTTTACTTAATATGCAATATGCTTTAAAATGGGTCACTATAGCTTTAAGCACTGTTAACGGCCAGCTGCCAAAACCCAGCCGCAGGATACTTGCTTTGTGATGCAAATCTGACAACTCTTTGTCAGCTGCCCCGCCACCTCCCGACTTTTGAGTCCCTGCCAAAGCCAGCCTTAGTCCTGTTTGGTGACGAGCCACAAACACAAACACAAGCACAAACAAAAGTCAATGCTCGCAGCTATTAGGAGAACAACAACACTGCCAGAATCAACACGACAAGCCCAGCCCCCTCCAAGCCCCCAATTTCCCCAGAAGTGCAGCAAGTCCTGCCAAATGAAGGATGAACACAATGGCAGTGTCTGCTGTCCGCCAGATGTCCTCCCTCCCACAAACAAAAAACACCTTGCATAATTTATAAGCATTTCCATTTGCTGCAAGCACTGGCACTGGATTAGAGGAGGAAAAGCGTAGAAGCGGAAAAAGCGGGCTGCCTCATGGCCTGCGACATTTGCATTTCAACGCAGTTTCAACACGCTCATGAGCAGCAAATGACACCGCGGAAAGGGCAGGAAAAAGCAACGAAGGGAAAAGGACTTCATTTCCATCTGTCC